GAGCCTTGATAACACTACGTATAGTGGCTTGAGGCCTCCAATTTCAATTTGTTTGTCCCTTGAAACTTCCCCACACATCATGAACAAAGGAGAACTACTGAAGCAGACATACTCACATGGGGTGCGAATGTGGCGGAGCGCTTCATTGCTATGGCAGGCTTTGCCTAGGATTTGGTTTGCTCGGGTTGGCTTGCTTGACGAGAAATGCAAAGACCCTTTACTACCCGTATTGAGGCATTCGAACCCTTTTGAAATCCCTTCTTTTGGGGTGTGTGTGTGTGTGTTTAAAATTTGTGTTGCAACTATTTCTCGGCTGCCTGCGAGGGAGGCTGAATTCCAGAGGACCTGCCTGTGGAGCTTTCCCTCGCCTTCGAAGGGGCCAAGACACTTTGGGGAGTTTGAGCCTTCACGGCACAGTTCTGGTGCCTCCGAAAAATCCTCACCAGCTGTGCTTTCGATTCTTGCAGGTGGCTTGAGCCACTTGTAAGCCCATTGAGTCAAGCTGCCAATGTCTCGAGCTGTCAGCGCCTTGCCGCATTCGCGGGCACCCAGTGGCCACTGATCCCCTAAATGTCTGCAAGTGTGGACCATGGTTTTCCCGTCAATCTTAGTGACAGCCGTGGTATCTGGGGCAAAACATAGAGACCCACCAAGGAATGAGGTGAATCACCTGCGATGTCCTCGGTTCTTCTCCTGGGACCGGCCCGTTGAGTTCGTACACAGAAAGTATAGGTACAGGGCCTTGCATCAAACCCAGATTAAGCCAGAATCATAAGAGAGCAATTAATTGTAAACGCTTCGCGTTGCCCGCCTCGGCCCAGCCTAGTTTGAGGGAAGGGTCAGGAACACCGAAATCCAGTGTTGGGAAGGTCCGAATACCTGAAGCTGGCTCCAGACAAGTCAGACAAGCCGGCCTCGCCTGGTTGGGCTGGGCTACAGGTCTCAGACACATCAGATAAGCCTGCGCTGGGCCTGAAGCTAGTCTTGGGCAGCTTGGCTGGACCTTGCTTGCGTGGGTTGTTGGTTGAGCTGGGCCTGAAGCTAGTTTACGGCGGGCTGGGCAGCCGCACTGAGGGGGCTGGGCTATGGCTGGGCTGGGCCTGAGGCCAGTTTCAGACACGTCAGACAGGCCTGGCCAGCAGGCGGACTGGGCTGAGCTAGACGCTAGTTGAGCCCAGCCTGGCGAGGCCCAGTCTCGGCGCTAGATAGGCTGAGGCCTGCGAGTCTCAAACAGGGTGGGCTTGGGTGGGGTCGGCTTAGGCGGGTTGCTGGTTGGGCTGGGCCTGAAGGTAGTCTCAGCCACGAGGCTGCGAAGCCATGGGTGGGTTGCTGGCTGCTGGAGGCTGGGTAGCAAGTTGCTGGCTGGGCTGGGCCTGAGGCCAGTGGCCTCAGGCGGGCTGAGGGACTGAGCTCAGGCTGGCATACAGTTGGAGACTGCGCCGAAGGGGCCTGGTCAGCCTGGGCTGCTGAGTAGCTGGCATAGCTTGAGACCAGTCTCAGACACGTGAGACTGGTCGTTGGCCTAAGGCCAGTCTCAGACACGTTAGACAAACCTGATCTTGGCACGCTGGGCTGAGCCTGCTGGTGGGCTGGGAGCTGGGGGCCGGTAGTGGCTGGCATGCCCTGAGATGCGCCGGGGCCTGGGCTGGGCAGGCTTTGGGCTGGGCCTGAAGCTAGTCTCAGCCACGAGGCTGCGAAGCCATGGGTGGGTTGCTGCCGGGCAGCCGGACTACACTGCGAACTTGGGCTGGGCTGAGCTGTGCTTGGGCGCGTTGCTGGATGGGCAAGGCCTGGGCCTGAGGCTGGGTGGCAAGTTGCTGGCTGGGCTGGGAGGCCAGTCGCAGACACGCAAGACACGCCAGCAAGCGGGCTGAGGGACTGGGCCTGAGGCTAGTCTCAGGCTGGCATACTTTGAAACCAGTCTCAAACTGCGCTAGTCCTTTTTCAGACAAGAATGGGCCTGAGGCTGGGTGGGCTGCGCTGACAGGCCTGGCCAGCAGGCGGGTTGCTGGTTGGGCTGGGCCTGAGCCTAGTCTCAGACACGTCAGACAGGCCTGGCCACCACGAGGTCATGCTTTTCAACCAAGTTTTTGGTGATTTTCAGCACATTTTCCGAATTTTTCGCCTCTTTTTTTTTCTTCAGAGAAGCCACGCCCACCCGGAGATTCACAGCATGGGGCACTTGCTCGGAAATCCAGGCCTGCAGTGCGACCCCGAGAGCGCGCTGCTTTGGAGCAATTTGGCGGCCATCTACTTCTATGGCCAGGCGCTTTCGAAGGAACAAATCGAGCTTTTTTGACTGATCTTAGTAAAAAGGGGTGCAATTCAATCGGCAAACACCGGTGTTGCAGCAAAGCTGCGTCCCTTCCTAGTCCCTTTGCGGGATGTTGATATTGTCCCTTTCAAACATCACTCGAGCAAGCTAAATTCAATACATGTTCCACTATCCCACCTAACATGGAAGTGCACAGGAACGTGGAAACTAGTCTAAAGGAAACTGTGCACCAAACCATGTTTGGTTGTAGGGTAAAAATGCAACTTTTGGTGTGCCGAATTGATTGACATCTTTCAGGGCCGTCCCCGGAGTCAAGAGGCAAACCCTGCACCGAGCTGCACTCTGTCTCACCAAAGGCAAGCCCCAGTGCCAGGCTCACACTGGTTAGCAATTCTCCCAACATGGAACTCAAACAGGGGGTTCTTCAAAAGGGGGTTGCTCGCATGAAGGCGCTGGGATTCCATGTGAATCTGCATTTGTTTCTTGATTGGCCTTGGTTACGGTCTCAAAAAGTAAGCCATTGAATACTTTGAGTCCTTTTTGTCCTCTTAGCAAGTGACATAGCAAACAAAAACGCCAGTGGCGTAAGATGGCGTAAGAATTCCCGGTAGGGAACCAACCATGTGGAGGGATTCCAGTTGCGCATATCCATGTTGGGAGTCCCTCCTGCTTAAGCCGAGAGGAAAATCACAGGGAACATATTCCCGCATGCCTTGGTGATCACCGGGCACCTTTTGCACTGGTAAAGCATCATTTGGCTGTGCAAGGTGGCACGACATCTTTTTGCACATCAGATCACATCACACAAGCTAGATGAGCAGACCTGAAAGCCACATTCTTTTCGCGGGATCGTGGCCTTTGCCACACTGTCATTCATGCTGCTCGGGACATGTTTTCTTGAACCCTGCAAACACATGAAGCCCTTTCCATTTTCACGAAGTTCTTCAATCAATTCCGGAACAAACCTTTGTTTTTGGCGTGCCTTTGTGGCAAGTTTCGTGCAACACTTCCTAGAGCCGGTTCCTGCGATCCCTGTTTTCCCAGTTCCGACGGTTTTCCAGGGTTGCGACGAGCCGTATTCCAGGTTACTCGAACCACGATATGGCAGGACATGCGCACAGCGTCCCCTTCTTTTCCATTTGATCTCCAGGGGCCGTTTTCCTGCGACAACCGGGTCGAAAGAGAATGAGCCCCCCTTTTCAAGAGGGTCAACCGCACGTTTTACATGTTCTCTTAGCAAAGAAGCAACAACAACAGAAGCAAAGCAAAACAATAAACAAACAAAAAGCAGCGTTTTGCTTTCGAAACAAACAACAGCCTTTCCCAACGAGTTCGATCCAATTGGCTCGACTTCCCTCGCAGGCGCCGGAGCTGGCGCTGCAGGCGCTGCAGGAGGCCCTGAAACACAACGCCTCGCAGCCGGCGGTGCAGCACAACGCCCAGGCGCGCGCGCCTTCGCACGCCCGCGCCCGCGGAGCAAAACCGGGGCGGGTGAGCTGCACTCGAAACAGAGGAACCCGAAGCCCGAAAGTTAGGAAAAAGGATGGTCCTTGCCATGGATGTGGGCATCCGGACTTTCAAGTTATGGGTAGATCGGGCACACCATTGTAATGCCAGGCTTTGATTGTGACTCAGGTAACGTCAAATGAGAGGCTACCTGGACAAGCATGGTGTGGCCGGACGTGTGTCCTGTCCCTTGAAGCGGCCCGTCCAATCGCACTTCGGTGATCGGCCTTTGACTAAACACCATCGAGCAAATGAGAGGTGTCTCAGCGTTAGCCAGCAAGGGCCACATACCACAATTCGCCCGCGTGCTCTACCTAGAGATGCCACTGTCCCTGTTGGACTGAAACGGCCAAAGCTGTTCCCTCATGTATGTGTTGCATCCTCCCAACACATTAGTTGTACTGCTTTGTTTGTTGCTCCCCTATGGCCGTTCGTTTTTGCGCCTTGTTTCAGACTCTGCAATCATTAGTTCTTCTACTTGCACTCGCTTTCTTGCCCAACTTCTCCAGACATCCAGTTCGCTTTTTTCGCCCCTCGGCCTTGCGGGGCCGTGTCAGCCGGGCGACGGCTGCGTCAGGCGCTGCAAGGGCGCGGGGAGCCGATCCTGGAGTTCTTCATCCCTTTCCCCGGGCGTGGCGGCCGGTGAGCCGAAACGGAGCGAGCCTTCGGTTGGATCTTTGGACTTTCACTTTTTGGGAAAAGGGGGACTTTCCATTGGACCCACAAGAAGGTCTGAGGCGACAACAGCAACCAAGAGTGGGAGAGGATGTTTGTTGAGCCAATGGGACGTGGTTGGCTTTCCGGGGAACGACAGCGGCACTCGGGACTTGCAGCGCCGCGGTGTTGCAAGTTGCCAGGACGCGTGGTTAAAATGGATCGCTGGGCACGGAGGGCACGGCACGTTGGATGTGGCGAAGCCGTGTCCAGATTGGTTTATTCTCGTGCCGGGAACGATCAAGCACAACATGATTTGGCACGTGTTATGCAAAGTTGGCCACGCGTTTGTTCATGGTCCCAGGTAGCGTTTTGTCTTGCGGACTACTGTGGGGCCATCTCCAAGTTCAACTCTTGTGGTTTTTGATTGCGAGGAGCACAACGCAGAAAGACCCGCATCGCGCAAATTCTTCTGGCAAGGTCCCCAAGACGCTTGAGGTTTTTGCTTCCGAAAGGGAAGGGAGAACATTTCTGGGTGCTCAAAATTGGCACCCTGTTGCGCCAGGCCTTGGTCCGACCCATGACGCTTCTAGTGGTGGGCTCAGCGGGTGGGGGGGGGAACTACACCTGGGAGGCGAGGATATTTCTATACCTGGTAGGGATTCCGGTAGTTGCCACAACCCCACAGTTTTTTTGTTTGTTTTTTGTGTTGAAATAAACCACCATTGCTTAACTTCAAGAGACGCTCATGAACAGTTGACTTTGGGAGCCGCCCACGTGTTGTGATGCCAGCCCCAGGCCCACTGCGTGCGTTGGCAGAGGTGGGCCTAGGCGGGAACGGGCCGAATGCGGAGACTTGACACGTCCGAAAGGTAGGCACCTCAAATATGTTCGCTGGTAAGCCTTACCATTGTCCTTGGGAGAGTCAAGTGGCCCTTACTTATTTTTGTCAGTGTTCAGTACTTTGGGGACACCGCCTGTTGGCTGTGTTAGATTGCTGGATGATTCTGGGGCATCCGCAACGCTTGGGGTGATTCCTAGGTTTCGGCGCTCAGACGATTGCAAGGAGCCAAATCATTGCTTTTTTTTCTTTTGGCTTCTTCGTTGGCCATGAGCTTGACTGGGGAACATCCTACATGTCCACCGCAGAGTCCGTTTCCAACTCAATCAAATTCATAGCCGCTTGGTATAAGGTCACCAGGGCTGTCCACGTGTTTTGATCAGCCCAAGAATTGTGTTGACTGCGAAAGCGCTCGCACCGCCCAGACCGCTTTGCCTTCCGCCTGGAAGCCCCGATTGGCGGCGTGAACGGGGAGGCGAGCGGCGAGCGACAACCCCGGGGCCTCGGGGCAGGAGACGGCCGTGAATGTTGATCACACATGGTGGACAGATCCCCATGGTTGGACATAGATCTCCACATCACCAAAGCACCCCCATATTTCTTTGGATAAACTGTTTAGGAGCGCCTTGTCGCAGAATGCTACGGGCCCAACAGTGAGATGCTACGGATGATGTCTTCGGGTTGCTTTCTGTGCTTCGAGGCTTCGAGGATCGGAGATGATGCCGTGTGCCACCTGATGACCGGCCTGGCATCCGATGTAGCGCTCTCTCTGCCATGGGCTCTTGCTTCCCGCATGGCAGCTAGTAGAGCTGTATATGGGTGCGAAGTGCCAAGCACCATGAGACCAGGTGTTTGGTGCGATTCAGGACATTCATCTTGGGCTTTTGTTCGGTATAGAGGTGATTCGTGTGTTCCTTTTTCACGTTTTCGCCGCGGGATCGACCTGAGACTCGAGGAGGGAGGAACATCTCGGTAGCCAGAGAGCAACCACTGTATACAGTTTCCGAGCAGGCTCCTCGCCGTGAAATGCGCGGAACCAGTTTTTCCCATGCCAATGTGAATTTCGTACCATGCGAAGCGACGCATGCGTCAGGCTGCCTTTGGAGCGCTGCCCACGCACTGGATCAATGGGCCTGGGGCCTGGAGCAATTTACTCAGGGACTTGGTGATATAGAAGACGCATAATAACATGCGAGTTTTTCAGGGTACCAAACAAAAAAAACATTGAGAAAGAGTGAAAAAGAGAGCAAAAGAGAGAGGCACAGAAACGCCGGGAATGCACATATACAAACATGACTGATTTGTGTCAAGTGCATGTTTGTATGATCTACTATCAGCATGTATTCTCACCACTCGCAATGGGCATGATCAAATAAGCTTCCCTGGTGTTTGTGGAAAATGCAGCTACAGTTCCCCCTTTGTTCTTCAACTATTGCCCATAAAAGACTTGAGCTTTGTTATGTACCTCACTCGTGCAATGAACACCTTGTCAAGAAAACATGACCTAACCTCATATGACCCATGTACAGAGGACGTGGGACAGTTGGCTTCGGCCCCGGGAGCCCTGATGTCAAAAGATGATAAACAGTTGTTTTCAGTCTTTTCCCGGTCCCCGCGTCCTCCCAAAACTAATAGTAGACTACGAATAATTTGGTCAGTTTCTCAGTATGGGTTTGTCTGCAAGTAGCGGCATTTTGGCCCTGCTTTTTGTCATTTTCGTGTGGGTTTGGACTTTTTTCGATTCTTGCTGTTGCGTTGTAGGGATACAGGCAAACGGTTTGCTGGATTTGCAGCCTTGCTTTCAGCGTCGCATTGGACTGTTTGACTCATAGAATCTGAAGCTTTGAAGTATTTTGTTTTCAACAATTACACGGAGCCTTTATTCCTCAAGTACTTTGCATGGCAGGATGCCCAATCTCTTTGTACAGGGGCACGGCGGAGGGATGCATGTGAACTGTGCCCACTCGCACCAGATTGATCGTTGCGGCATGGCTCCCGTTACCCCAATTCCAACTTGCAGCATTTCAGGCTCACTTCGAAGGAAACCTCTGATTCCGCTCCTCTGAGGCGTTTGGATCCCAGACATTCTTGGGTCCTGTATGCATGATATTGTATAGATGCATCGTATGTCCATGAAAACGGCTTATGCCACTTGGGCCGCGCCCTTTCCGTCAGCCGCAGGCCGACCGAGTGGGTGCCATTGGTGCCAGAGGCAGAGGAGCGTCTGGGGGATCTGGGGCCCGCGACGGGCGGAAGTGCCGCGGGCGTCCTTTTTTTTCTGAAAAGGAAATTCAAGAGGAAGCCAAAAGGAAGCCTCTCTCCTTTGGCGTGTCCTTTTTTTTGGTTTGAGTTTTTGAAGGATCCAAAAGAAAGGCTAGCATGTGAGATTGAAGGTTGGAACGCCCGCTCCAAATGGTTGGTGAGTCAATGGCGGACATAAACCGTTTGTTTCAACTGTCCACCAAAGGTTCTCCACTTCAGCACATTTTGTAGTGGGTGGCATTCCCACTATATTTGCACGTGGAGCAGGGCATGGTTGATTGGCGTGTGGGCATCCGTGATCAACCTGTTGAGGGGTATCTGAAGTTTTGCCAGCCAGTCGGCGAGACACAGGCTCATTGGAACCAACACTGGTCTGATGGACCTTTAGATCTTAGGTGACAAGCAGGCAGGCACAAAGTAGCGCAGCAAGATCGATCTACAGTTTGGTTCGGAACCCGACGCCAGTTTTTGGCCCCTTTGGATAGTGGTGACCCAATGGTCCCTTGAGGAGTCCTTCTTTCCGAATTACAGGGTGACACATGGCACAATCCCCCTTCTGTCGGTAAGGGTATGATGATAAGACCAGGGGGGAAGTGTGAAATTTACGCTTACCCAACTCTCTACCCAAGTGGATTGGAGGGTCCGGTTTACGTGTCACGTTAGGAGGAGGGCTACTGGCTGGTGGAGGTGCTGGCGGTGCCGGGGGCCGAGTGCTGCAACCCCTCGGAATGGCCCGGCCATGGGAGAAGCCTCCGCCATCTTTTGAGGACCAAACGCGCAGGTCGCCCCTGGAAGCAGCATACTCAACTCAACCTGAAAACACTCGCCTGGATTGCCATCATCATCACGACAGATGCCCAGCTTCCGGGCCACAGTTGTTTCTTCCCGTGCGGTCACTAAACCTTGGCCCATTGTCCGGCGGCCTTCGATGAGCAACTCAAGGGCGCACATTTACGGGACGGGACGCGAGTAGAGTTTGGCGCCTGGGGTGATGCGGATCACTTTTTCTGGGAACACCCTTGGCGAGCAGCACCTCAGCCCCACAAATTCGGGGGTCATATCTTTGCTTGTTAAGCTCCAGGCAATTTTGGTGTTCTTCCCTTCCCCAATGTGGCATGGCTCGATTTCCCACCATGTGCTCATGGTAGACTCGCGGCGAGGGTGTGTTATCCAGGTAAATGTTGAGGGATGTGCGCTTGGCCCGAGTGCCTTGCTGGGCTCAATTAGTTGGCATGCGCTGCCGTGGCGACCTCTTTTTGGCTCCAGATGTTGGGGCTTCTCAGTTCTCATTAAGAAGACCTCTCCAGACTGTGCAATGTGGACTGCATAGCTACGGCAAACAGCCAACTCACGCAGAGTCTATTCAGCTTTCAGAGCTTAGACATGATGGGATGAGAGCAACACACCACATCACGCCGAAAAACGCGGTCCGTCTCCGATTTGGGAGCACGTCGCAAAGAGGGAAGGGGGTGATGTCAATGATCCTGACCTGCAGCCTGCTGGGCAAAGACCTGGTGCTGGCCTGCGGGGGGGCAGAGGAGGTGACGGACCACTTGGAGTTCGCAGTGGACGGGGCACCGAGGGGGGGGGGAAGGCAAAGTTGAGGCCTTTTGACCCGAGCCCCTAAAAGTGCAGGAGCCCTTTGTGGGTACCGCCATTTTTGAAGAAAGGGCGGGGTTGAAAGGCAAGCGGGCGTGGGATTGAAACAGCAGGTAGGTCTATGTTAGGGCTAGGGGTCGCCGTAATTTTGAACAGCCCAGTTTTCTAAGCTTAGTCCGCAGATAGTCCTGGCAGGAGACAAACAGCGCGTCCAAAGGAAACCAAGTAAAGAGTAGTGCTGTAAACATGTTTGAACACCAGGGGGCGGAACCACCCTTCCATCTGAATGGGGTTCTGTGGCCTCCCAATGACTTGGGGAACAGCGCAACTCGAACTGCCAAGCTCAAAGTCCCCCAACTGCGGCAGGTCAACTGCGGTTCGAATAAACAGCACTTTCCCTTGTCCGACATGCCGCCCAAACAAGCAACCGAGTCACATGCGCAGATGAGCCAAAGCAAGTCTGGGGGGGGGGACAGTGGGTTGATCAAGCACATTTTGTACCGGCACTGGTTGGCACACTTGACATTGCTTTGAGTTGGGCGTTGTTCCCCGAGGGCGAAGGCGGTGCAACGAGCCCGATGTTTCTGCCTTTCCGGCTACAAAGCGAGCAATGTTTGTTTTGGATTTGAGATTGGGCCCGTGGGTCAAGGCTTGATCCCAAGTAGCCTTCGTGCCTTTGCAAACCAATTTTGTCAAATGTGGCATGAGGGTTTGCAAGCAACAGTGGTCGCTTGTTCGCACGTTTCGAATTGGATATTCTTCTCGGCGCTGGCCAGGGGTTCAAATGCGGGACCGTTGGTTTGTGCTGAGTACATGCTCCTTGGTTTCATGGTTTCATCATGAGCATCAAGCTTAAGATCTTGCTCTTTGGGGCTTAGTCACCCTTTTTGGGGTTGCGTCGAAGCCAAACGCAAGGGACGCCGACCGGGGTCTTTGCTTTTTTGCGAAGTTGTTTCAAAGGGAAACCAATCAGAAGCAATTGCACTACAGTGTTGTATCGTGTTATTCTGCATTCAAACATTTGTGTTTCTGTTCTTCAGGGTAGTATCTTTTTTTTTTGGTGGGGGGATGTGTTAAAGGGAGGCCAAACAATACCACCCATTAGGTTCACACCTGCGCAGAACTGCTTGGCGCTTGGACAGGACCAGAGCGCACCGTCGCAGTCTTCCCGTCGGTCTGGCCGACAGGACAGAGCACCCAAGCCCTGGGTGTTTTTGCTCGGTAGAGGATCCCCAAAGTGGGCGGTTCTCCCTTTGGGGTGATGTGTTTCAAGGGGATATAGAAGCCCTGAGCCATGGTTTCACTTGCGTCGCAAAAAAGATGGGTTTCACGTTGCAAGCACATCTTCCAATGACGGGCTCCTGGGACTCAGCCATGTATCACTGCGCCGATGGGCTTTTTCGTCAAGGATTTGAACCCCAGGGGTTAATCGGATTGCATGAGCCCTTGATCTCCTTTCACCAAACCATGGCAAACCTTGGGCTTCAGGGCGCTTTCCTCCTGAATCATTTGGGCAAACTTCGGTAACCTCACAAAGAGATGCGCTTTTTGCGACCTCAACAGGTTTTTGTGTTTTTTGTGCTGGTGGACTGACAGAGATGTTCTAGGCAATTTAGAGCGAGGTCAGCCGAGGTGCGAGGTGGAGCAAATATTTTAAGCGAGGTGATTTAACTAAATTCAGAACAACGAGGTGCACACGTAGATGCAGCAGGAGAGGGTCCCACAGCAGGAAAAAACTTTTCAGGGCCTAAACAGTTATTTTATACTGTCAGAGGTGATTGTTGGGGAAAATAACTTTTTGGGCCCTGCAAAGTTTTTTTCTCATAGTCTTCCCGTAGCCTTCCCGTAGCCTTCCCGTAGCCTTCCCGTAGCCTTCCCGTAGCCTTCCCAGAGCACCCCTAGTCTCATTGTTTCCGGCAACCCCTCAGCAAAGCCTTTGACACAACAAAGGCCAGCCACTTGCCTTTGGCCAGGGTCACATGGAAAGATATTCTGACATTGCTGTCATTTGGGATCCAGCGGCAACCGGAAATGCAAAGGATCCTTTTCAAGGTGTGTTTGGAGTGGGGAACAAACGGAACGAAATTTCTGGAAGGCGGAAAAATGAATAGTTTTGAGAGCTCAGTTTAATGAACCATACTGTATTGCATATTGTATTCCATGTATATAGCAGACTTGTACGCGAGCTGGGGCTGCCAAAGTTTCCTGTAGCGCACTTGTGCTGGGACGCGGCGTTGTTGTTGGCAAGCTTGGGGCTGCCAAAGCGCAAAATAAACTTTTCAGGGCTTGTAAAGTTGTTTTTCAGCACTCCAGGCAGCTATCCGGGGCTGCCAGCCCTCAGAATGGAAATAAGCGACCCGGCAGGCAGCTAGCGGCCGCAAACGTGCAAAGCAAACTTTTCGGAGCTTGAAAAGTTTTTCAGCGCCTCCAACGGCTATCCGCGTTCTGGACTCGTACTACAAAATTGTGATTTTCGCGCTGGAGCTGCGGAAGCGTACTTTTTTGTACTTGGCTTGTACTACGAGTCGTGGAAGCGCGCTTCTTGCACTAGGCTTGTGCTACAGAATTGTGATTTTCGCGCTGGAGCTGCGGAAGCGTACTTTTTTGTACTTGGCTTGTACTACGAGTCGTGGAAGCGCGCTTCTTGCACTAGGTTTGTGCTACAAAATTGAGTTTTTCGAGCTGGAGCTGTGGAAGTGTACTGGAACGTGGCATTGGTGTTGGAAGGCTCGGGGCTGCCAAAGCGCAAAATAAACTTTTCGGAGCCTGAGAAGCTTTTCAGCACTTTAGGCAACTATCTGCGTGCTAGATTTGTACTACAAAGTTACGATGTGACGAGGGATTTAACGAGGTGACGAGGTGACGAGGTGACCACGGATATAGCGAGGCGAGGCGCACACTCCAAAACCTTATTTAACAACGAGGTGACGAGGTAACATTTATTGCAAATTGCCTGCCACAAAGAGTACTTCATCAGGAATGCCTCGCGTGTCTTCAGGGTTGGGCAACATTCGGTTTCAACAGTTGTTCACCAAATTGCCCCTGGTCCTCTTTGTTAAGGGAAGCCAAAAGAGGCAGTTTGAAACAGTCTGTGGTCTTTTGCCATTGCCTGAACAAGCCCAACCCCATCTTCGCAAGGGAGACAAAGCAGCAAACAACACAACAACACGGCGCCAAACCCAGAAACACAACGCTTGCAACACCACCAAGAACCCAAAATCTAAGAAATCAGCAAACCGGAACAAGCGACAAAACAGCACGTCCCCGTGCTTCGCAAATGGTCTCGTGCTCGGCGGTCCCAGGCCTCGGAGCGGTCGCTGCGGGAGAAGGCCGGCCTCCCGGCCCCCACGGACACCGCGGAGCCGACAGACGAGCCCTCCGAGGCGGACGTTGGGGCGGGGGTGATGTTGGGAGATGTTGGGAGATGTTGGGAGGGGGGGGTTGGGGGGACGAAGCTTTCCAGCCCCAAAGGCGCTCTGCAGAGTCTAGCGCAGCATCATTCAGAGTGGCTTTGGCACACCGCTGTCACGGGACCAGCTGGACAAGCAACTTGAAGGCTTGCGCATGCGAGCGGTGCCGTGCCAGGCGTGGTCGAGCACCGAGGAGAACGCTCCTCCAGAGGTCAGGAGATGAGGGCTGGGAGTCGAATGTGACAGAAGCTATTCATTCGGAATGGTGTTGTTTTGTGTCTGCCATGGTGCGTTTCAGTATCAATACGTGTTGTTTGTTTTGCAGCGTGCTCCTTGATTCTTTTTTGAGGTGGTTCGTTGAAGTAGTGCCAGGCAGACCAAGACCTCGGCAAAGAGGCCCCGGCCTCAGCAAGCACCAGGGTTGGTTAAGTTAATCACCTATTCCAACATTTTTGAGCACCATCTTGTAGATTAGCGGGGCAGTTGGCCTAGTACCGTAGGTGAGGATATCCCCCAGCCGTTCGATTTTCCCGCGGGGCGTCGGAGAGAACCCTTGAATCCCTGGTTTTCATTGCGGCGACCGTTGGGTCCACTTGGGTGGGGAGTTCTCAGTCTTTCAGTGGCAATAGTGGCAATCCCTTCCTTTTGTGTGTTTCTCCCTTGTTCCAGACCTTCTGTTCCCGTCGGTT